CTTTTTTTAATACTGGATTTTCGATATTCATTTTTAATTTTTTAAATTATAATTTAAATTTTAATATGTCTGCTTAATTATAAAAAAAAAAAAAAAAAAATTCAATAAAATTTTATAGAAATATAATTAAAATATGAAAAATAAAATAAAATAAAATAAAATAAATTAGAAAATAAAAAATAAAAAAATAAAATTAGTACATTTATATTTCAATACATAAATTATATATATAAAAACATAGACTTGCACATAATAGGTATCCATCTCCCAATATTAATTAACTGTAAGGTGATGAGTTAATTATAATAAATGTCACATTATTTTTAACATTAAAATATTTTTTTTATAATTTTGTTATATCATAATTTCAAAGAAATTTACGTCCAAGATTGTATTTAAAATGGTAAAACTTTATGACAATTTAAACAATAGAGAACTACCGTGGGTCCTTCATCAGAACGACGAACTTGTATACGTCTAATATCTACATTTCGTGATTGACATATCTTACATTTCAAGCATTCGTCCAACATATCATCCTCATCCTTATTTTTTATACTATTCAATAATTCTAATTCTTTTTATTCTCTTTTTCTATCTTCTTCAAATAATGATGATTCATCAAAAAATTTATCTAATTGTTCAGATGAATAATTTTCCATTTCTATTCTTTTAATATTTTAAATATATTAAAAATCGAATAAGAACAACCGATAAAAATGATTCTTTAATTTTTGGATGATGCGTGATAAAAAAATATAATAACTAAAATTAATGGGAATACAAAAAAAAAAAAGAAAAAAAATTGATTTAAGAATAATATATCATTTTCCTAAATATTTGAAAATCAGTAAAAATTTTTAATTCATTTTAAAAAATTTTTTTTTTCTTTTTATAGGAATTATTTTTAAAATTTTTATAAAATTTATTTATCAATTTATTATTTAATTCAAAATAAGGTAATTTATTTTAAAATAGACAATCGATTAAACAAAATTGACGTTAGAGCAACTTTATCCGTTTATTATGTAATTATACTTTATTTTACCAATTATTTATTGAAATAAATTAAGATTAATTTAATATTTTACATAGGCTTACCAAATGTAAAATTAAAGACTTCATTAACAAGATAATATCATTCAGTTACTAATAAATTTATAGTTAAAATTTAATTATAAATTTAATTTATTCTTTTTGTCTTTATCTTTTCAGCATCTCTATTAAATTTAACGAAAAGAAAGTAATGATATTTGTATAAAACAACACAATACTTTAATATATTTAACTATATATAATTTTATTTCTATATAACTTTATCTTTATATAGTTTTATCTTTATATAACTTTATCTCTATATAATTTTATCTTTATGAAATCTAATGAAATGATTATCATATTTATGGTATTTTGCCAATGATATTATAAATTATTATATATTTAAGTGTAAATTAAATAAACGTAAAAATGACTATTATTAAATTTAAAAATTAGTACTGTAAATGAAATTTCTTATGATAAAATTTCTAAAGAAATTTCTATAAATTTTAATTATGATGATTTAAAAAAAAAAAAAAAAAAAAAACGATAAAATAAAAATAAGCTAAAACTAATAAAAAATAAAAGAATGTAAAATTACGAAAGCGAAAAAAGAAAAAAAAGAATTACTAATGAAAAATTTTCAATTATATTAAAAAAAAAAAATTAAATGAAATAAATAAATTAATAAATTTAATTTTTTTTTAAAATAAATTTTCCATAATAAAGAAAAATATTTGAAATTAAATTATTAATTATTCAAATAAAAAAATAGGAAAATTGTTGATTAAATTTTAATAAAGAGATAATAAAGTATCATTATTTGAGGTTGAAAAATTATGCTTTCAGAAAGAAACTCAAACTGCTAAAGTTAGTTATTATTATTCCAATTAAAATATTGAAAGAAAAAATGTAATTCTTCATTACATTAAAATTGAAACGAATAATAGATATTTTACCAAAAGATAATAATAAAACTCAAATAACTAATTTTGCAAACATTATTTTTGATAATATTTTATTTAAGGGGAAATATTAGAAAATAAGTATTTTTTTTAAGTTTTAATTTTAATAATAGTATATAATTAATACGAAAATATGAATTTAATATAATGAAATATGAATGTATCATTAAATATACTTTTATTAAGTATAATAAATATTAAATCATGTATTATTGAAATAATAAGTTCTCTCAAATAAATAAAATCGTAATAAAAGTAAATATTTATTTACTATTTTTGTCAGTTTTTAGTTTAAAAATAATAAATAATTAAATGATTAAATATAATTAAAAAATAAATAAATGTTTTCATAAACTGAATCAGTAAATATACTATCAGTTTAAAAACAATAAACTTAAGTTTTTTATTTTTTTTTATCAAATAGTTAAAACATCCACATTACATATTTATATTTTTATATATTTATTTATTTATTTATTTATTTTACTACTTAGTATTTATTTTACAATTATATTAAGAAAATAATAAATATAATAATATATTAAGAAAAATTATTTAATATTTATTATTTAATTTTTATCATTTATTCATTTATTATTTATTTATTATTTATTTATCATTTATTTATCATTTATTTATTATTTATTTATTATTTATTTATCATTTATTTATTATCTATTTATTATTTATTTATTATTTATTTATTTATTTATTATTTATTTATTATTTATTAATTTATTATTTATTTATTTATTATTTATTATTTATTATTATTTATCATACTTCTTTGTATTTATTTTACAGTAAAAATAACGAAAATATAAATTATTTTTAAATTATTTTTATTTGAGTAAAATTTCTGGAGACAGTAAATTATGTTACGAAAAAGGTAATCGTATGGTGATTTGAAAAAGCGGTTATAATTGAATATTATGGAAATATCCTAAAAATAATTCATATCCTGATTTTTTTTTTTTTTTTTTTTTTTGATTGTATAATAGACATTATAATAATTGTGTATGTTTCTTTACTTTTTTGAGGATGAACGAATAACTTATGAAGTATGCAATGAAAGGAATGCAAAGAAAAATAAATGGTACAATGAAAAAAAATTGATGGCTGAATTTTTTTTTTTTTTTTTTTTTTTTTTTTGGTCTGTAGTTAATGATGGATTATGCCTAACTATTGTTAAAAAAGAGTTTTCATAAATAGATACAACAAAAAGCTTATGATGAAATATATCAAACCAACAAATTTTATAAAAAAGGAAGATAAATATATTAGTGGTATTGATGATAAAGATTATACGAATTTTCTAAATTATACATAATAAGATTAACTTCTTGTGTTAGAAGTGTCAAAAAAACAAAAATGGGAAATAATAACAGACCTATCTTCTCTATCAGAATAACATAATTTAATAAAATTTTTTAAATGATTTAAACCTTGAACTCAATTTAATTAGCATTATAATAACGGTGTATAATACTAAGCTTAAGAAGACATAAACTATATTTAAATATTATAATTTTAAAATAAATGAATTGTTTTTTAAAATTACAAATTCAAAAACTAAATAAAGATTAAAAAATAAAAAGATAGTTACTAAAAATTATTTTCTAAAAATTAAAAAAAAATAAAAATAAAAATAAAATAAAATAAAATAAAATAAATAGTTATTATAAAAATATATATTTATATTTTATTATCATTATTTTTAAATATTTTATATTATTAATACAATTGATATTAATGTTAGTCTTAACTATTATTATTATAATTATTAATATATTTTTTTTTTAAAAAAAAAAGAAAAAAAAAAAAAAATTTTTTTATTTTCATTATTATTATTATTATTATTATTATTATTATTATTATTATTATTATTATTATTATTATTATTATTATTATTATTATTATTATTATTATTATTATTATTATTATTATTATTATTATTATTATTATTATTATTATTATTATTATTATTATTATTATTATTATTATTATTATTATTATTATTATCATTCATTTATTCATTCAAAATTTGAATTATTCTTTATTATATTAACTTCTTTTTTTTTTTACAGCTTCAATTATTGCAAACTTTTATCTTTATTTACTTATTCATTTATTAATTACATTAATAATTTTTATTTTTAAAACTATAACACAAAACACAAAATTAATAATAAATAAATAAATAAATAAATAAATAAATAAATAAATAAATAAATAAATAAATAAATAAAACAAAACATAGACTTGCACATAATGGGTACCCATCTCCCACTATGGCTGTAAGGTGATGAGTTATTGGCATACTGTAACAGCTTCGTCGCTCTCAGTCGTCGTCACACACTGCCAGGAAATGCATTCCTAACGTTCCTACATATATCTCCATTGTTCATGAGCATCAGAACGGAATCATTAACTCCTCCCTAGTGGGTGTAATCATTGGCGATTGGAAATTTTACAATCATCAAGGTCTATGCTTCAATTCAAAGCGTAGTATCAGGGTTGGGTGAAATAATCATTTGAGGGAAAGCCTTATTGATATAAAGCAAATATGTGTAGTAACATATTTGTATATTTAATAATAATTATTAAATATTAAATTTATATCTTTTTGATAATAATTATTTTATATTATTTTATTTCAATATGTATTATTATAATTATAATAATTATAATACTTTAATTCATATAAAATTTATATAGTTCTATATATTAGAATATATAATTAATATATTACCTATTTCTTATAAATAGATTAAATTATTTATATTAGAAATAGAGGACTCTCTTGTAAATTTTTAGGAATTAGAATTATTATTTTAATTGTACGAATATTTTAATTTTATTAATAAAATTTACTAAACTATCATTATTTAAAACCCACTGCATATAAATTATTGTATATAAAAGTCCGCATATCATTATGAATATCACGTGTTGTCTCATGATATCCCGGGATAGAAACCTCATCCGATTATTTGGTGTCATGCCGAGGATTCAAACCCCGCCCTCTACAGTAACCTGTATCGTCCTAACCGAATGGACCAACATGGCATAAATAAATAAATAAATAAATATTATTTACCCAATTAGAACATAATAATATTTAGAATAGTAATGTGAAATAAAAAGTAATATTCAAAATAAAGGGTATAGATAAATTCAGAAAAATATTCATATTCAATGAACCTTACCTCCAGATTATAAGATTTCCGTTTAAAGGGAATTCTTATTCCTGATTAGGGTTTGAATTGACTATCTGAAAGAAATTATGGTCCTCTCCATCAGAGATATTGGACCTACTAACCTGTCTTACTGCATTACATTTTCTGTGTTGATGCTCCTGGTTAGTATGCGCTTATACCATCGGAATAACAACTCTTGACGAGTACTAGCCCGAGGCATAATTTCTATAAAGAGGGCCGTAGATCGCACCAAGAATGGCATTTTTTTTTTTTTTTAGAATAATCACCAGAAATGATTTGATTATTAAACAAATTATCACATTCCTTTTTTATAATTTTAATTCAATATTATCTGTATCTCTTCCACCAAGAAGGAAGTTATATAATCTGTACCGTATGACTTATATATTTACACACCTCATTGTTCAGAAAATTACTTAAATTAAAACGATTTTCACTAATTGAACTATTCACTACATTATTAGTAACGATACTATTATTCTCACTATCACTAATATTAATATTCCTATTTTCACTATCAATATCATTACTATTATTAACAATATTATTCCTATTGATATTATTATTAATGCTATACTCTTCGTTACTACAATCAGAACTTGATTCTAAATTATTCATATCCGTGACAGTAGTGTTTACATTACTATTTGATATTGGTCAATATTTGCTAATTACAAACAGTTTTCCATAATGTTTTTCAATATCCATAAAATAGTATTATTATAGTAACAATTTGTTATTTATTATTACTTTTATCTGGAAAATGTATTTCAATTTATATATTTTAATTTTATTTATTTATATATTTAAATAATTTTTTTTTTTTTTTTTTTTTTTTTTTTTTTTTTATTTTTTAAAAAACATATACTAGAATTTATGGAAATCAAATTCTAGCCATTACGATAACTCTTTCTTTAAATAAATTTTAAATTTTAATTATTATATAAAAAAAAATTATCAAAAAAAAAAAAAAATAATAATGATAAAAATATGTGTGTGTATAAAAAAAAAACAAAATAAAAGATAAAAAAAAAAAAAAAAAAAAAAAAAAAAAAAAAAAAAAGATAATTAATTTTTATTCTTTTTATTCTTTTTAAATTTATTAAATAAAACGTATTTGATAAATAATAATAATAATAATAATAATAATAAATATATATTATATCTCTTTTTGTAAATATTAATAATAATAAACATATAATATTTTCATTAATATAAGTTTTAATATTTATCTTTAATTCTTTTTTTCTTTTTTTAATAATAGTAATTATAGTAATAATTATAATAATAATAATGACAATAATAATAAATTTTATTTTTTTAATTATATTATTTTATTTAAAAATAATTAAAAAATTTTCTTACTCTCTCTTCTTTTTATACTTTTTATTTTACTAATAATTCTTTTTTAATTTTATATATAAAGAACAATTATTTATATTTGTTATACAACTAAAGAAAATAATATATTTAATTATCTTTATTTTATTTCATTTGAAATATTCTTTTATAAAAATATTTTAACATTAAATAATATAAATATACTACTATTTATGATTTACATTTTTTTTTCCTTGTTTTTCGTTTTTTTTTTTTTTTTTTTTTTTTTTTTTTTTTTTTTTTTATTCTTTCTTTTTTTTTTTTTTTTGTATTTTATGTTTTTGTTTTTTATCGCTTTTTTTTTTTTTTTTAATAATATTAATTATTATTATCTTATTTTATATTTTTGATATTTATTATTATTATTATTATATAACCTTATATAAAATAAACATTGATTTGTTAAAAATATATAAAATTTTAATAATCTACAAGAAATAGTCTGGGGTTCTTCTTGTTACAAGTGGTTCACCTCTTCTTGGAGCTGGATCATATTGAAGGCTATTTTGTTAATTTAATTAAAATAATATTAAAAATAATAATATATATATTAGTATAATGTCCATTCTTTAATAAAAGTAAATATTTTAAATATTATTTTTTTAATTTAAAAAAAAAAAAGTTACAATGTATATTTGAGATGTTCATCAATTTCCATAATAGCGGCTTGGTTACCACATCTGTAACAGTAATTTGGTGCACTGAAAATAGTAACTACATTTCTATCTTGGCACCAATTATAACCCTAACATATAATTATAATTATAATCAATAAAATAAAATATATTAGTTTAACAACCGATTTAAAATATAAATAGATTATTTTTATATAATATTGAATTATTCATAATATATATATATATAAATTATGAAATACCTCCATAACAAGTTGGTGAGCACGAGCAATTAAAGTAAGACCATTGTTATGATTAAATGCTTCTGAGATATCATTACCGAATGTATAACCAGCTCCACGTGGAGAAATACCCCAACCGCAACGGTCATCTGGATCAGACCAAAGTAAATCACACCTATTTGTTAGATTATACATAAAAATATATAAATTTTTTAATTTATGTAAGTATATTTATACATATTATATATTGAATTTTTATTCTGTATATTTCATTAATTATGTATATAATTTTTTTTCTTTTTTTTTTTTAATAAATTTTATACATACATTGGACCTTCGTGTGGAACTTCTTGAATTCTATCTAAGGACCTAATGTGATCAAGAGTATCAATAGATGGAGAAAGACCACCATGAAGACAGAATATCTTTTAAATTTACAATAAAAAATAAAATCAAGTTAATAATAATTTTTTATTTAAAATATATATATATATATTAAAAATTAATAAATTTTTTATTATTATTGAAATAAATTATGACTAAAAAAAAAATTTTTATAACTACTATTATTATTACTAATGATTTAATTTATTTTAATAATAAATATTTATCGTTATATTTCAATTAATAAAATTATTATTTATTTAATAGTGTTTATTAACATTTAATAAAAGCTATTAAATATATATAATATTAAATTAATATTTCATTTATTTATATTTACTTGGTTTTCAATTAATGCAGTTAAAGGTAAGTAATCGAATAAATCAGTGAAGTACTTCCAAACATTTGGATTTCCATACTTTCTTAAGCATTCATCATAGAAACCATAAACTTGGGTAATTTGACGAGATTCGTGATTACCTCTTAAAATAGTAATACGATCACGGTAACGAACCTTTAAACAAACCAAAAGAGTAACAGTTTCAACAGAATAGTAACCACGATCAACGTAATCACCCATGAATAAGTAGTTAGTATCTGGTGAATTACCACCAATGTTGAAAAGTTCCATTAAATCATGAAATTGACCATGAATATCACCACAAACTGTAACTGGGCATTTAACTGGTTGAACGTTTGATTCTTCAATTAAAATTTCTCTAGCCTTTTATATATATCATTAAAAACAAATTATTTCCAGCATATTTAGTTAATATACTAATTTTAATTGATTAAAAAATAAAATAAAAAAAAAATAAAAATAAAAATAAACAAATAAACAAATAAACAAATAAATAAATAAATAAATAAAAAAGCGCTTATTTCAATATATTTTAATTTCTATTTCATTTTCTTTTCAATTTCTTTTCATTTTTTTTTTTTTTTTAATTTATTTTTTAAAATCAATAAAAATCCCAATATTAATTTATTATTATTCATATATTTATTTTATTTTAATTGTTCCTCCATCAATAATTATAATTATTCCAAACTTTAACAAAAAAAAATTTTTTTAACAACTAATTTATATTTTAAAAAATGATAAATATTTATATATTTTTTTTACCTTCTCACATAATTTTTGAACATCATTTTCTGGTAATTGCTTGCAATCCATTAATAAAGCAAGCCATCCATCAAGATCAGCAATATCAGAATTTACAGCAGAAGACATTTCTTTTTAGCATAAATAATATTTTTCAATAATTATTTATTTTTATTTTTTAAAATTATTTTATAAAAAAAAATAAAGTGAATAATAAAAATTAAAAATAAAAATAAAAATAAAAATAAAAATAAAATAAAATAAAAATTTATTAGTTAAAAATGGTTGATTCATTATTTATTACTTCACTTTTAAAACATAAAAAAAAAAAAAAAAAAAGATTTTTTTATGATAAAAATTTTTATATATAATTTATTCCTGACTTTTGAAGTGAAATAAAAATTTTATTTCATATCATAAATGTACTATTTTATACTTATTTATCTATTTATTATTTTCTCCTTAAAATATATTAAATCTTATTAATTTATATAATCATTATCCTTTGAAACTAGAAATTTTTATTTAATATATTTATTTTTAAAATAATATTTTATTAAGAAAAAAAGAAAGAATCATTTATAAATATATCCTTTTAGTAGTAACATATTATATTAATATGAATTTCCTCTAATTACTCTTATAACATCTTACAAATATGTGTACTTTTGTATAAATTATAAAAAAAAATTTTCAAAATTTTGCTTATTTTATTTATAATATTTTTTTTTTAAAATTAATATTAAATATAATTTATTATTTCTTAATATATATATATAAACATTATTATAACATATTTTATATTGCATAACATATTTTTCATTCATTTCTGAAAATAAATGTTTATATTACTTTCCAACAAATATTTAATATTTATATATATATATATAAAATTAAATAAATAATATTTTTTTTTAAATATCTTTTTATCATTATATTATTTATATGTTCTTTTTTTAATATTAATATTATTATTTAACTTGATTACACTTCATAATACTCTCTCAAATAATATATACTATTTGGATTATTTTTATTTATTCCATCTAAAATTTTTTGTAATTGTCAATTAATATAATTTTACTTATTTAACTTTGAATATTATTTATTGTAAATATTATTT